CTCCTCTATGCCAGTTTCATGAGGTGACCTCCTGGGATGCTTTCCCAGCTGTCCTGAAGGAGGTCCCACATATATGCTGAGCACTCACTGGCAACTTTTCCTTCACTCTCTGGTCAAACTCCTCCAAAATCATTTCTGCTAAGTTTACAGTAGGTCAGGTGGCCAGATCATGTGATGCGACATGCAGTTTGGTGTATCCAAACTTCTGACTGGTACTGTAAATAATACAGAACATGCAGACACACATTCACACTGCAACACTCACACAGCTGTTTACCTATGCCAATGACTTTCTGAGGCTCAGATTTGACAGTGAACTCGCTATTGCTGCTACTCGCTTGGAATGTGTAGGTAGCTTCACATTCGTAGTTTCCTTCGTCGGTCTTTGACATATTCTCAATCAAGTATTTCACATTATTTTGGGCAGTCAGCAATGCTTTACCGTCTTTATAGAAAATGACATTTATTATATTTGGTGCACCACGAACAATGCATTCCAGTTCTAATTGTTTTCCCAGTTCCGGCAGAGCAGGGTTAGGCACTAGTTGTATCCATCGATCTGAAGGGGTGAGAACAGCACAATGAGAAACAAAGACAAAGACTGACAATTCAAATAATTATGCAGAAAACTCTTACATAACATTAGCACAAAAACGCAAGTTACGCAACACCAGTGACATAATTCCCCTGTATATGTCAACTGTAAATTAAGATTGATTTCATGTCCATTTTACCATTAGGTTGGGAAATTCCTTGTTCAGATAAATTTGCCTTAGTTGTGCACTCTTATATTACAGGTCTTTTCTGATTGCTTAGGCACTATCTTTGAAACTATACTGTAGGCTATTTTTGCAAAATTCTACACACTAACCACAAAACCTTATGCAAACCAGTAAAACATTATACATCTCTTGAAAAAGCATTTATTGCAAAACTCTTCAAAAACTTTTTAAAAATTATATTATTGCGTCTATAGAGTACACATAAACTGTCATATGAATTTACACGAGATGCACCAACTACGCACTGACAGTGTAACTGAAAAGCACTTGTGGCTTTAGCTTTACCTCTGTGCAGGGCACAGCAGTTTGCAAAAAGGTGCTGTCATACATGTAGCAATCACAGATACACACAGGAATCCAAAGGTGTAAAGTATAGCCGTGTATTCCCAACATAACTCATTATCAATACAAATAAGGGGATAAAGTTTTTTTTTTTCTCAAAATGGTCTAACACTGCTCAAACAACAAAAGTACAGTATAAGAAAAGGAAAACATTTGTGCTTGGAACAAAAACACAAAGAAACCAGGCTAAATGTTGCGCTCTTTCTTGTCAATGTGGAAGAGCAGTTGGCAAAACATTGTAGTAATGTAGAGAGCAATGTTTTCAGTTTCGCTAGAAGTGTGGTATACAATTACAAACTGACTGTAAAGCAGAGAAAGCGCATTCAGTTTGACACCCACGGTAACTGCATTGGTTACATGTGAATGGTTTGAGAGATAGTGCTTCAACACTCTTGTCATGCCCCGTTCGTCCGCTCCTTCCGTGTGCCACGCCCCCTCATCTACCTTGTGTGGAATCCCCGTGTTTACCAGCTGTTTCATGTTGCTGTCATTAGTCCAATGTATTTAAGTCTGCGTTAGGTATGTTTTCCCTAGTCTGGTCATTGAAGTCTAACGTCCAACGTGCATGTCCTTTGACCCGAAGCTGAAATATTGTTGCTGGGTTCTTTGGCTTTTGAGCATTAGGATACTCTATGGTC